TCGAAAAAAAATTATCGTCATCGTGCAACACACGATATATAACTCCAAAACTTCAATAATTTTCTTTTCTGAAAAAGAAATTCTAATATTAATTATATATTTAAAATATTTTATACATTTAATAAAATATTAATTTTCTCTTATAAACATTTATTTCATTCTCTTATTGGTGGAAATAATTAAAGTGCTATTATTTTTCCCTCATATATAAAATTTTAGAGATTTTTCTACATTTAGATATTTTCATATTCTCTCTCTTCTTTTTCTGTTTAAACGGGAAATTAATTAAGATAGTCATTTTGAACGGTGAGTTTTATCTCTTAGGGATAGTTTACCAAACACTTATCTGGTAAATGCTTACCGGTAAAATTTAAACACTATTATTTATTTGGCGGATAAGATTTTAGTCCACCAAAACGACATCGTATGCAACAATTTACCCGGTAAGCGCTTACCGTGGTAAGAGTCGTCTCCCTCACTTATCGGATAAAACTATTGGTCCTTGTCTCGCTTTTACCGGGTAAGATTCTTGGTTCTTACAATATTCATCAGGTGAGGTAATATTACTTGATAAGTGCTTAACCGGATAAGCGTTTGGTAAAGGGCCCCTAATTACGAAAATAGTTATAGGTTCGCAATTGGCAGGTCACGCAATTTACGGAGATGCCAAAGTGAAAAAAAAAAAAGTTTATGAAGCAGGTTTGCAATTAGATGGAACATATATATAAATTAGTTAATAGGTTCACAAAAATATGTCATTGATGTGTTTTTCCATATTTACATATTTGGTCCCTATAATTGCAACCTGATTCATAAACTTTATTTTTTTTCTTACACTTTGACCCTTTTGTAAATTCAGCACCTGTCAATTGCGGACCTATAGCTATTTTCATAATTTCAGAGGATAAATGGCTAAAAAGTGAAAGCATATGGTCAAAATGGCTATTTTAATTAATTTCCCTTCTATTTTAACATATAATATAACATATTTATTTAAACACACAAAACTCTTCTAAATTACTAACATTTCTACTATACCATAGTTGTGGGAGATGCTATGAGAAAATCTCCAACAACAGCAGGTATGTTATATTTTCTCTGTTTTTTCCTTCAAATTTTGGAGAAATCTTCTATGCTATTTTACTTTATTTCATATTAGTGTTTAGCATAGCTGTTGAAGCAAACTTTTTTCAATTCTTCAAAAAGTTTAAACTAACATAGTTGTTGGAGATGTTCTTATGAGTGGACAAAGTGTATCAGTATGCAATAAATTTTATATTAATTCATGCTCAGTGTGGAATATATATTCAATTCTTGATACTTCATAATATATTTTACTTGAAAGAACGATTTTAAATTCCAACCTACGTGACATAAGTTTATTTTCTGGTAATAAAGGAACAATATTTATCTGTTACGAGTATAAAATAAATAAATAAGAGGTTGTTTGTTTTTCTCTTAATAGTTCCATTAAGAGGCAACCTCTGAATCGGTTAAAGATGAATTTTGTTTGGCAAAAAAAAATCTGTCTTTTAATGATTCTAAAATCCTCCGAATGATTTTGTATCTTAAATCTCACTTAACCATTAAGAGCCCTAATTTATTGTACACAATTATTAAACAATTATATTTCATTTTGCATTGTATTATGAGAGCTTTTTAATCATTCTGACTACTTAATCATTCTGCATCAAACTATTCAACAATTTCCAAATAGTCCCTAACATTGAATGGTTGTTATTTTAATTGGAAAAAGAATCATTATTATGTTAAGTAGGAAATAAGAGAAATTTTGTCCTATTTTGGTATTTTGATTTTTAATCACTTTTATAATATTAGATAAAGAAAAATACTTATTTTTTAGAGTCAAAATAATTAGAAAAGAATATATATAATATTACATAAAAACAAATTTTTAGTATCTATATTATATTATAAGCATTTGATAAAAACTCTTAAAAACTATTTTTTATACATAAAGTACTGTTTATTGATACATATTACTTAAAATTAAAGATTACAAGTAAATAATGCACGAGTACAACTTATTAAAGCTCCATGCTTGAATTTGTGTAACTAATTGCATATAAACATAATCAAATGTTGGATAAACATTTCATTTTAAATATAATTAGTACAATCACTGTGTTATAACAGAATACTTGATTATTATCTTTATAAAAAAAATATTTTTTAAATCAAAAAATTATTTTGTTATTAAATCTAAATTAAATTATAATAGAAAATTTTGAATTAAAAAAATTACACAACAAAACAAGAATTTTTAATTTGTACTATATTATAAAGCATTTAACAAAAACTCTTAAAAACCATTTTTTATTAAATTATTGTTTATTGATGCATATTATTTAAAATTCAAGATTACAAGTAAATAATGCATAAATACAACTTATTAAAGCTCTATGCTTGAATTTGTGTAACTAACTACAAATAAATATATCAAATATTGGATAAACATTTCATTTTAGCTATAAAAAAATTAAAATATAATTAGTATAATTATTGTGTTATAACAGAATACTTAATTATTATCTTTATAAAAAAAATTATATTATTAAATCCAAAAAGGGATAACAACTTATCCCATTAAGATCTTCAATAAGCCAAAAATATCAGGTCGTTGCTGCATCAATGCTGTAGCGTCGAACAGTTCAACAATTTTTTACATTAGATTCCACTTGATGTAGAAACAAATAAACCACATGATTTAGCTTCATAATTAATAAAAAGAAAAATAAAGTAATAAAATGATTCAACATAAGGATAAAAGAAAAACAATATAGTTAAGAACTTATAAAATGAATGTTTTATACATTGAATTCTCAATGTATATGAGTAAGCTTTATGCTATTCAAAACAAAGAACTTGTACACTTTACTGGTTACAATACTATCAAATAAAAAACACCAAAAGGAAGTCATAAAAGATACAAAGTCATTTAGAGGATTAAAAAAATAAACAATTAAATTAAGGAATCACGTCATCGTTTTGTGGGTCCCAATCTTCATTTACATACGACCAATACTCACGGTTTTTGTTTCCGAGTCGTTAAGAAGTGGGACCAACACGATATATAACGAACATAACTTGCGTTCGTAACCTTATCAGTTAGCAGCAGCCATGGGGGTCCTCGGGCTCGGGAGTCCCATGTACGAAAGCCTTGGTGAAAGTCGAACATTCGGGCTCGGCCTTGGGGACGGGATTGGACCGTAATTCGCAAAGTTCCCAGGAACGACACGAGGAGATAAGTTGACCTGTTCAAGGGCTCGGGATTGTAGCTCCAGTGGATAATCCCGAACGCAGCCGATTCGGGGCCCGTTTCCGGATGACCACTTGCAAGACAAACGGTTAGCCAGGTCGTACCGCATTGGGCTTGCCTTGATCTCTTCCAGCCGACGGGCCGAAACTGGCCTGGGTGCGTCTACTTTAGATGCACTTGGACGCTCAACACGAGTAGGTGTACGAAGAATGTCCACCGGTCTTGGATGTGGAATGACCAGTGGTTTAGGCTTTGTTTCGTTCTCGGCGACCTTAAACGAAAAGCCGACACTCACGTCATCATCGTCAACCGAACATCTCTGCATTAAGAGTTGTAATCAGAATTTGAACTATAAACGAAATAGTCAATTAAGACATTTAGACATTTTTAGCATTTTACAAAGTCAGTATTGTTATAGCGAAATATAGTATATGTTTCATTATAAAACCAAATAAAAGAATAAGAATACAATCGAATAACATGTGATTATACACTAGAATCACATGTGATTCACGCGACTTTGGCCGCGATCTGAGGTCGCAGGCCATGTTGCTCGCTCACCTTTGACCGTTAGTGTAAAATCACATATGATTTTGCACGTGATTTACCGTTTTCATGTTCTTTTATTTAGTTAATGTTATCTTTTAAACCTCACTATGTATATCTATATGTATATATATGTATGTATATATATGCATACCTTTACATTTGTGAGATCAACATGGTTTTCCTCTAAGAAACAAATGAATTCCCTGAAATTCTCTTCAGTTGGAAGGTAGTGACCACTGTATGGCCAAATAGCCTGAAACATAAATTGCAAAAAATGTAAGAGGTTGTTTTACAGTTGTTGAATGGTTTGGTGCAGAATAATTAAATGATCAGAATGATTAAGAGACTTTTATGATATAGTACAAAATGAAATCACGACGCTTAATGGTTAAGGGAGGCTTAGGATACAAAATCATTCAGAGGGTTTTAGAACCATTAAGAGGCAGACTTTTTTTTGGCCAAACAAGATTCACCTCTTAATGATTCAGATGATGCCTCTTAATGGAACTATTAGGAGGTAAACAAACAACCCCAAGTTTAGAAGCCTAAAAATCACAAATCTTTTGAGTGAAACAACATGCATTACAGACTTGTACCTCAAGAACTCCGCCGTGGGCGACTAATCGTCCGGCGGCGGTGGTGGCGCCACCGGCTAGAAAGCTCGAATGCTGAAAAAGCCCTTTCATTTTCTGGCCAACGTACAAGTTCCTCGTTGTGCTTAGAACGAAGATCCATTTGGAACCCTCGATGGTTTCCAAAAGCAAACCGCTTTGCCGAAAAATGAGCTTTCCGTCTTCAACAATCACTTCGTATGATTCCCTTTCGTTCTGTTGAAACAACGATGGTTAGCGAAAGGAAATTTACATTGTTTTTGATGAAAATGAGTGCGGAATGAGACTTACGGGTCCTAAGTACTTGATGCATTGACGTTGCATACGCGCCCTCGGACACTTCTCGAGATTTACTTCTTTGCCATCTCCGACATCCAACCTTTTATATTTCAAAAAATAAACATCATAAATATTTGATCGGAATTGAGAAAATAATGTCTTACTGTCTCACAAACTAGTGGATAAACTAGATATGTTCTATAAAAATGAACTGATCAGCTATGTGACAATGTAAAATGACATAAAAGAACATGTTTGAACCATTCAGTGGAAAAAATAAGGGGTATAATTGGAAAAATCCACGAGCTTATTAAAACGCTACTTTAAAGCTATGAGCTAGATTATGCCTAACTAAAAGGGACTTTTCCAATAAGTTCAAAAAAATAAGTGGTTCAACGTGGCCTTAAATAAGAATCGAAATCTTGAATCGGGTTGTTACCAGTAGAAGAAGGGTTGGCTGCTTTCGCTTTCGAACCAAAGATCATAGTAGATATGCAAATTGTGGCCATAGCGATGGCGTGGGTCAATCTGCAAGTCAGCAAAAGCAGAACTATGAGCAAATCGTCACACGAAATTGCTCAAGATTAACCGAGCGTAAGCAGTCAAGAAACAAAAAAGGGTTGTTTCGGGTGCTCACCGCTTCGAGCCAATGTTGCAAGGCCAGTTTTTGAGCCTTTTCGTCTTTCGACAAGCCCTTTCCCACCTTAGCAGCCCTAGTCCGAGCCCTCGACCACCGTGAAACCGCAGTTTCGTGTTTCTCGACATTGAAAAACGAAACGGAGCTTCGGTCCAAAGCTGCAAAATCTAAAGCCTTCCACCTGCAAAACATCATCCTATTCAGAAAAACCAACTTGAAACCAATCCAACAAGAACAGTTTGACTTTCTACAAATAGAAAGTCAAACTATATCTTGTTTCGATTGAAGGAGCTAAATTTCGGGCTAGAACGAACCATAGTTCTTCAGCAACAACGGCACAATCGGCTAGGCTTCTTCGTGTTCGGTAGCTTTTGTATACTTTCTGAACTGTAGTAGCTGCAGCATTGAGTTCACTAACAGGTCGGGGCGAAAAGAAAACAACGGGTTCGGGGAGAAGGTTTGCAGAACCCGTTTCAAGATTCGGGTTTTCGGATTCGGGCTTTCGGATATCCTGAAGCAAATTCTTGAAAGAAAGGGTGGTTTCTAGCATGATCTTCAAGGGTTCACAGTTCTTTAAACTGATTGAGTTTCTTCTTCCACTGGTAGGACAAGAATCAGTGGAACTTTTGGAGATCACTTCGGATTCCGATTCGGTTTTCTTGAAACTATCGGATCTTAATCGGTTTTCGAGGTTATCGAGATCGTAAGGGAGATCTAGGAAGCCATGTTTCAAGATTTCTTCCCAGGCTGATGATAATAGTGAGAAGGATAAACCCATAACAGTTAAAAAGCTCCTGCAAAATCATGATCAAACTTGCTTAAATTAAGGATGATTAATCCACATATTAAGCTTTTTTAATTGATTTCAAGAACAGAAAGATGTCAAATAATTGAAGAAAGGGACAAAATCATCAATAATTAAACAGGAATCAAACCCTAATCCAGTGAGAAAAGACAAGTTATTCCCCAATTTCCTCAAGAATAAAGACAAGAGACAAACACAATAAAAACAGATGACTGCTTTCATAAAGATTCAACTTTATAGCAAATCTTGTACCAAAATGAAGAAAAAGGAAGAACACCCAATGAAGTGTTGACATAAATGAAACAGACCCAGAAATGGAATCCAAAAACACAGTGAAATTGACCTGTTTTGATCACCTTGAATCAAGGTTGCAGTTCATTCCCAACACATACAAACACATGACTCCTTTTAAAAAGATTCAACTTTTACAGAAAATCATGTACCAAACTGTGAAAAGGAAGAACACCCAATAAAGCATAGACCATAATGAAACAGACCCAGAAATGGAATCCAGAAAACACAGTGAAATCGACCACTTTTGCTCACCTTGAATCAAGATTCCAGTTCTTTCCAAACACTTGCGCTCTGTTTAAACTGATATAATATGAAGCTGAAGATCTCTGCTTGGATGAATGATGATTATGACAAACCTCAACCTCACCTTATTTATACCACAAACTATCGTGGAAAATAATCACACTGTACACGTCTTTGAATTCTTTTGAACTAATGTAAAAGATTGACCAAAGAAAAAGAAAGTGGTGGTCTCCAAAATATGGGGTTTGATTTTGATTTTGTGTTATCTAAAATCAAATTTCAAACCCTAGCTGGATGTTTTTGATGATTCAAAGCTTGAAAATGTGGAATACCCTTTAACGTTGTTGAATGTTTACTTCCGTTTTCTGTGTGTGATTTGAAGATATATACATACATGTGTGTGTGTGTATATATATATATATATATATATATATATGAATCTTGGAAAATGGGAGTAGATGGAAGGAATGGTCAAAGAAAGGAAGCTGGGTATGGAGTTCGATTGAAGATCATGTAGGTAGAAAAATGTATGTGGGGGACGTGCGATAATATTCACGTATTTATTGTGGATATTATTTTTAAAAATTGAGTAAATATTATTTAAAATAAAGATTTATATATGTTGATTTAATGAAATTTGGTTGGAAAAAGTAGGAATGATATTGAAAGCTTGAGGTTCCTCATCAATGGCGGAAACAGAGGAGTCGCAAACTGTTGCTTGCGTCCGGACAAATGTATTTGGCGGGTCGTGGTTTTTTCTTCTTCTTCTTCCAATTTTGACTTTTTGTGATTAATTAATTTTAATTCTTTTGTAAACGTTTGAAATCAAACTTGTAAACAGATCTTTTAGAAGCGAGATTTTAAAGATTTTTCTTCCGTAGATTCCTTACAAAATTATCGTTAAATTATATGAAAAGGTAATGTACTTTAACTTGATTCATATTCTTGGTAACGTACTTTCAGAACTTTCATTTTGATACATAAGATGTAAATTTTAAACATTTAAGTACATAGGTGACCGCTTAACCGGTTATTAGAGGTGAGCATAGACGGGTATCCGCCCTATTTGACAGGAACCGGAACCGGCGGTTCTTAAGATATTGGAGCCGGATCCGGTTAGAACGGTCTTGAATTTTTGGAACCGGAACTGGAACTGCCGGGAACCAGTTTCGGTTCCGGATACCCGCTTCCTAAAATATTAAAATTTTGTTATGTAGAAATAAAAAATAAAACATTACCAAAACACTAAATAAATAAACAAGAATACAGATTATATGGAATAATGGTTATAAATATTGTTTAACGATTACAAACCATAATAGACTAATAGTAAATGTTGAAAGTTTAACGATTACATATTATAATTGTAAATATTGAAAGTTAAATGATTACATACTATGAATCCAATAAAATACACAATTTGAAAAAATACGAATCATTTTTATCTCAAATTTTGAATTTAGAGTTCTAAGTTATTGATCTAATTTAAATTTAGTATAACAAAAATTAATTATTTTTATTGAAAAATACCAGGTACCCGCTGGTTCCGGTTCAGGGTACCCGCCGGGACCGGTTCCGAAAAATTGAGAACCGGAACCATTCTCAATCGGTTCCGTATTTTAGGAACCGGAACCACTCATATCGGTTCCGGTTCCGGAACCGGCAGTTCCAAGACAGTTCTGGTTCCGTAAGTGGGTACCCGGTTTCGCTGCTCACCCCTACCGGTTATCATGCTGATGTGGTATCCAACTAAGAACTATTTTTTGACGTGGTTAGAAACATGGATTTTTTTAATCTAAAATTAGTCTTCAACCGGTTACTCGTGTACTTAATTGTTTAAAATTTTACATCTTAGATACCAAAATGAAAGTTCTAAAAATACATTATCTAAAATTGAAATCAAGTTAAATTACGTTATTATTATTATTATTTTTTTGTAATTTGCCCTGTTTTTATAAATACCTTAAAAAAATGAGAAATGGTAATATTATTAATTCATTTATGTATTCTGATCATTCAAATACTTTCCCTTCAAACAAGACATATGAATGTACATATAAGCTTATTTGACCAATAAATCAAATCTAAAAGTTTTCTATTTCTATTTCTATTTCTATTTTTGGGGTGTGAATGCTATAAACAATTCAAGGGGGTGGACTCATGTGAACATGATTGGATATTATTATTATTTTTTTATTTTATTTTTTTTATTATTATTATTATTAGTCGTCTTGGTTCACGTAAGGGTATACGTAAAATACCATAGGGAGTCGTTCATATTCAAGAAAGTTTCAATAATACAATTTGTGACTGTAACAGATTACAGGTGCGAGTGGTTTCTTGATCATCTGCGGATACTTATGGCTTTCGAGGTACATATTATTATTATTATTAAAAGAAGATAAAGTGGACATTTAAGATTTGTTTTCGCGTTTTGTTTATATTATTACTTGAATAAATATGGGCAAATTTCATAATAATAAAAAATAACGTACTTTAACTTGATTTCTATTTTTGGTAACGTACTTTCAAACATTTAAGTACTTGGGTAACTGATTGAAGCATTAACCGGTTACCATGCTGATGTGGCGAGTGATGAGATGAAATTAAGTTGAATATCAAATAATACTAAGTTAGATACCACATCAACATAGTAACCGGTTAATGCTTCAACCGATTATTCGGGTACTTAAATGTTTAAAACAATACATCTTATGTACCAAAATTGAAGTTTTAAAAGTACGTTACCCAAAATAAGAATCAAGTTAAGGTACGTTACTTTTGTATGCAATTTACTCAATTAATATTTAAGAGTTGATTCCAAACTTGATGTTTTTGGATTATTTTTTTAGAGAAGGGGGTACGAATGGAATGTTAATGTACCAAATCCTATTAGTTTTAAGGGTTTTAAACAATGTCTCAAGTCTATGTTTTAGTTTGGTATCAAACTTAAACCTATTTGTACATATTTTAAGAAATATTATTTGAAAATATTGAATTATTTATTTTATTTTATAAAAGTTTTATGGGTTTCCTCGACATTTCATCGAAAACCCGTCAAGAAAAAATCACAAAAAGTTATTTGTGTCATAGTCGTCCTCGGTTAACTCTTAGAGGCATTTTAGTCAATTCGCTTTATAAACTTTTCACGAGTTTTGAATTTAAACTTTAACTAATTTATTTGATATTTAAAATCAAATTTAACAAGTATAAAATAAATTAAAGTAACAAATCATATTAAACATATATACAATTAAAATCTTGAAAAATGGATAACCGATTTTTAAAAATAGGCGATGAATTATATAGACCGTTTGTGTCGTTTTCCTTTACTTTTAACGTAATGAATCTTTTCATAAACCACAAAGGTGGTGTTCAATTGGTTTAAGCTTGGGCTCTAAATGTCAAAAGTGTCTGGAGATCTCAGGTTCGAATCCAATAAAAAATAAAAAATCTCTTGTGGTCACGAAGGTTGAAGTGCGTTGACTCCAGGCTACCCACAAAATAGATGGTCGCTTTGAGATTGGTCGGCTTGCATATCAAATTGGATATTTAGATTAATAAAAAAAAAACTTTTTATAAAATACGATATTTTATTTAAGAAAAATGAATATATATATATATATATATAGAGAGAGAGAAAGGTTCAAACGAGAACCCCTGTGATTTACGAGAATGCAAGAACAACCCAATAACCATATATTGTGATAAAAAATAAAATTAAAAGATTTTTAAAACTAAAATTGAAATTAAAAAAAAATTCAGAAAATATTAAAATTAAAAGGGTAATAATGGAAATGATATCATAAAATCTTTTAATACGATTACACGATCATGATTATCATTATCTAGTAAACGGTTAATCATATGATGTGGGTGTGATAATCATGTGATTATCACACAATTATCACATTATCGCTTATATCAACACGATTTGGTGT